GTTCACCCGTCTGTAATGTAAATCTCCAAGCTTGCTTGCTTGCTTTCCTTCCCTCCCCTTTAAAAATACCATTATAATATAAATAAATAGTGTTTCTATTTATTTTCCTGCTATTATAAACAATATGATTTGGTGAGCTTTTATCAGTTTGGAACTCATCTGATATTTATTAATTTATGGCTACTTTTATGTTTGTCGTAATTGTTATTTTGTAAGTTCAATAACCCACACCCCCTCCCAAAAAATCAGGAGAACATTTCAGTCATGCTGCAAACTGTGCACTGGAGCCTCCAGAGCAGACACTGGTGAGATTTCTATGCCTTAAGAAGCAGAAAGTTGGTAATACATAGTGTAGCTAAAGAGGAGAAAGGCAGTTCCATCCAGGTTTTTTTGCAGATGGAGACGTGCATGTTGTAGAAAACTGTTGAGATCTATTTTGTTTAAATACTTCCATCAACCAAAGAGGTGGGTTGCCAATTCCCCAAACTGTGCATTTTCTTCAAAAAAAAAAAAAACTCCAGTTATCAGGTTTGTTGCCTTTAGCCAGCAAAAGCAGTGGATATGGACAAAACCCTTAAATTTCCATTTCACTGGATTGATGTTTCATCTCCACATTATCTACCTTTGGGTTGCATTTGAGTTGGCTTTGCCAGAGCACAGCTCCCTCATTCCTTCTACTGGGGCTCGGATCTGCTGAGACAAGAAAGATATAGCGTGCATTCTTTCACCGCCCACGCGGCTTGAGAGTGTTTTGGGGTGGGGGTGGGGAATACAGTCCAACTGCCTTAACAAGCCTCTCTTCCTATAGTGTCTAAGATGAGGGTTCATCCTTGTGTCCCCTAATTGCTGCATGAAGATGCCCCTCCAACTGGTTTTAAAGGACATGTCCGCTTGATGCTGTCTTCATCTCACCTCCAGCCCACTGCAGAGCTGACGTTTCTTTTTAGCTGTTCCAGCTTAAAAGTAATATTTCCCCTCTTCTCCTGACTCTGTTTTGGCCAGAGATATGATCTACCATGCTGTTCGGCTCCCACTGGCTACTGGCTGCTGTTGGGGTGCTCCTTCCCTTCCAAGCTCTTTTGCCTTGGACTGCAGGGACTAGAGACCTGGTTTCTGCAGAGGCATTAATGCCTGACTGGCGCTTTCCAAAGCATTTGTTGGGGGTTACTTGGGCTCCTTGTAACAGGGTTTTGCTGTTTTTTTGAAAAGGAAATAGACCTGTGTTGAAAAAATAAGACTAGCACTCCTTTGATGGAATAGTAGTCCTTGGATGTGTGACCGCATGCATGTGTCTCTTGCTCAATTTCTGGATAGATGAGGGTGTTCTCAGTAACTCCTTATGGTCAACATACAACCTTCTACTCAAATTGCCTCTGCTTGCCTCCATTTTTTATTCTGTGTTTCTTATTTCTCCCTTCTTTTTTCTTACCTCCCCCCTCTGCCCTCCACATGGATCTCTCTCTCTGGGTGTATGTCTTGCTTGACCTTTGGAGAGATGAAAATGCCATCAGGAACTTTCTCCCCCTTTCTTCCTTTGATAGAATCCTTCAAGAGGCTTACTACTGTGATCTCCAGTAAAGGAGGAGGAGTAAGGAAGTGAGAAGGAGCTCTCTTCCACTTTTCAACATGGAAATTCTCAGGCTGTTTTTTTGGAAACAGATTTACTACTCTTTCGAAAGAGCACTAGACCCATGGCCAAAAATAGCCTGTGCAATAACTCACATGTGTTGAGTGCCTCCATACCTCTGGCTTCCCATTCAGGCAACTTGAAAGTGTGCTAAACCTTGCATCTCAGGCACAAACTTGTACTCACTCAAGCCTGCTCCACTCCATGTTAAGGAGAACAAATAGTCATTCTTCCTGTTAGCAGAGGATACTCAGTGGGAGGGAAAATGAAGCCAGGGGAATCCAGCAATCACTGACATTAAATTGTCCCACATTAAAACTGTAAGGACAGCACCACTTGTCAGCTTTATTTCTGAGGTAGAAGAGGACTTGTCCTTTGGGGCAGCATAATTTATGTTGACATACTTTTCTGCTGACTCAAGGACTGGTGGAATAGAGTCCTGAAGCTCTGTGCTCAGAGTAACCTCATGAAGAATCTAGTAAGGTTCTGGTCAGGGAAAAAACAACCAAGACTTTTCTGGAAGACTGGAAACCTTATATGTACTTTTTGCTGAAAG